GGCGTCTGGCAGAGTGTTCTCCTGAGGTAACTGGCCCGTTTTTGCATCACTCGTCACTGAAGGATGGTGACGATCTGTTCTTCACATCCAGCAAACCAGCTCCAGAGTCATTCTTTCCCCAGGGACAGGTCTCATGTCGGATAGACTCTGTATATCGATTCAGATTATTACTCGGAGGCGGTTAGAAGAGATGCCGAAGTTAATAACTGACTGAATACGTTTTTCGTATTTAAACAATGCTGTTGTCTGCAACGGTGGGGATCCGCACAAGATTTCGTTGATTTTACTATACTGAGGAGAAATCGAGCGGTGAAAATCGTAGTTTTCCCCTCAGCTTGAAACGCTTGTCGCGTGTGAGGTGGCTGACCGATATTTTGGCGAAAGTCTTTGTAAAAATATTCCTTCTAGAAATAGGTTGATTTAAAAATAAACACAATATAACTAACGAACGTTTACGATCATTGAAAAACGTTTTAAAACGTTTTAAAAGTAGGGCATGGGTATGATTACTTAAATTCCCTACATGTATATTCCCTTTACAAGAAAAAATATAGATATTTTGTCTATAAAATCCGATGAAACACTTCCTATTCAGATTCTGCTATAAGAGTGTCTTGTCGAATAAGATGCATTAAAATCTAGGAGGGGACATCCTCGCACTGTCCCGCAGAGCAGCGAGCACAAGTCCGCGGCTGGCATTGCTCGGGTAAACCGCGCCCTCTGGTGGACAGAAGGGAGTCGTGCTAATGGTGCGTCATTTTCACCGCTACAAACAGCGGGCGTAAAACACAAGGTCTAAACGTGTAAAAACCTACCCGGTTTATAAATCACTTTCCACGTGGCAGCAGTTTCGTTTCAAGCTGATGTCTATATGTGTCTGTTCTCCGATTAATAAAATTCTAACCCGTTACAATAAATCGGAAAGCAAGAAGTAATACCTTTATGTTATGAAAAGACAATTACAGACACTTTCCTTCACTTGATCCTGAGTGCATTCGTGCATGTGAAACATGTGTGGTTGACTTTATACTTTTCGTGCTTGACCTCTTCTTTGGTTGCGTCTCTGGCAGGTGGGGCCTCTGTTGTTTCTGGCGTCATTTCTTACTGCTGAAGCTCGAAGAAAAAGGATGCGGACAGATTGCTCACCAAGATATTTCAATACGATCGTTTCAGATAGAAAAAAGCGCCAGGGGGATACTTCTCGCGATCCACAGACCCAGTAAATCATATATCGTATGTACCTGAACCTTCGTGTCTTCTTGCATCCGATTTCTGAAGAGGTGAAGCGCTCGATTTCCGCAAGAGGGCAGCAGAAGACCGTTATGCAAAGGAAGAGGGTCCCACTTTCCAGATTTAGGATGTTTAACCTAACTCTGCCGGTAGAGGGCAGCCGCACTTCAGCTTTATTCGCTCATCAGAAGACATCAGCATCTGTAGCCTTACTCCTGTTTGATTACCCGACAGTCACTAATTAAAGACTTTCCTACGTAACCAGCTGCAAAAAACACAAATAGTCTTTTTTTTTCCAAAAGTGGATATCAGACTCATAACAGCAGGAGAATAAGACCCTAATATTCTATCATCTCAGCGTTTTCTACCTTGGAATTAGCAGTGCTGCTGAACTGGGTTCAGTTGTGGACTGGGGGTGCTGTCTGTGTGGAGTTTTTATGTTCTCCCTGTGCTCCAGGTGCTCCAAGGACACCCTGGTGGGTTAATTGTCTTCTGGAAGAAGTGGGCCTGGTGCAAGTGTGTGTGTCTGTGTGCCCTGTGACGGACTGACATCCCAGCCAGGCTGTATCCTGACTTGTTTCTGTTGCTTGCTCCAGATCCCCTGCATCCTTGAATTGGATAAAGCAGTTAGGAAATGAATGTATGGATGAACCTGGAATTGTAAAATATCATTAGTATTGTAAATCAATCAATTGTGAGAATAAAGAAAAGTTCAAATTTATATTTCAGTAAAGTCCTGATAATATATATATATAATGTAAAAATAAAACACTGTGAAAGTATTCATAATACACACTTAACGCACTTAACGTACTTAAGGAAATGACTTTGGCAGTAATGTTCCTCCTTCAGAGCATGCTGGTAAAATCATCACTTTACTGCAAAGAGTTTAAAATATCTTGGCCTGTCCAGTGAAGCTTGGAAATACCATGAAAAACAATAATCTTAACACACTACACATCACGGATTTATGATCTCAGCGCCGGTCTTTACTGACAGCCTGCCTGAAGTGACGTTACAGATCCCGAATGTCTGCTGTTGTGCTCGTCGCAGCGAAGGTGAGCACTGCGGACTGATCTGGTCACCTGACTGTGGTGTCCAGCAGACCTGACTGCACACACTGGGCTCAGGTAGTTGTGAACACTTAGATTGTGGGGGGGGAGGGGGGTGAAGAGGAATAAAAGAAAAAGTTGACAAGCAAGTGTCAAGGGTTAATGTAGAAACCTGTAGCCAGATTCCCCGCCATCGACTAGCTCTTAAAACAATGTGCTCAGTACATGTCTCAAAATATTGATTGAGTCACCCAGGTGAGGCTGCACACTGGTGGTGGTGGAGGGGATCCCCATGACCTGTAAAGCACTTTGAGTAGAGTGTTGAGAAAAGCGCTATATAAGTGTAAGCAATTATTAATTATTATTATTATTATTAATTGATTTTTGACAGCTTATGTTGTACCTGCTAGCTCTAATGGGAGCCCATTAAAACAACGGACAGACCCAAAACACTGGGAACGTGGGAATGCTTCTGCTGTGGAGGCCGGTGTCACTGTGCAGCCTGGCTAACCGAACAGGGCAGCCTGGGGCAGCCGGGGCAGCTGGGGCAGCCTGGGGCAGTCTGGGGCAGCCTGTGTGTCTATCACCCTGCCCGTGGCCACTTGCCTCTGGAAGATTTGATGCACAGCGCTCCTGTTTAGGTGGAGATGTACATCTTACGATTGAAAAGTAAATTTGGCCCACACCGTTCTGAATGCCCAACGTGTATATCCTCGGTTTTTCTTACTTTTATTTTTGGGCATTTATCATTCCATCCTACTTTAAAAAAAAAAACTTAAGAAACAACATGGCTAGAAAGGTACAGTTGATTCTGTCTTACCTGAACCAAAACATTCACCTGATAGGTTTTAGGAATAACTTCGGAATAACAACTAATATAGCACACGTGGGAGAGGAAAACTCAAAGTGTGTACTGACTGCATAGGCCACAACAGATACTGCTCTGCAGACACACTTGTCTTGTTTTGACTCTCCTCACTGAGCCATTAGTCCCAATACACTGTTGTTCTTTCATGCACTCTGTCCTTTTCGGCAAGAAATCTGCCTTGTGTTTATATATGGCAGATGGCATGTGTGTCCATTTGGACCCTGAGATCCTGAAGTGGTTTAAAATCAGGCTGGCAGTAGCTTTGCCGTTCATACACTCCTGTGCTCCTCCACCTTGCACAATTTTTTAAAACTCAACACACTGCCAGTTCTCTGGTCCGTGTCTCTCACTTTCAGGTGCCCCCAAGACTCAACGCCCCCCGCCAGCGTGAGGAACTGTGATATTACTGTCATGATATTCTTTATGATTTGAGTGTAACTGTGGTAAATGTAATTTTAGTGCCATCCTGTGAATCAAGTATTACATTTTGTTTTAAAACAATCTTTTTTTGTTCATCCTATAGTCAGCCCTTGGGGCTATAATGAATATAACAATATTGGACTATGTGCACGCCTGCATACTTCGACCTGAATGTTTTTGATTAAGATAAACCTTCTGCAGAGATAAACCTTGTCTTCTCCTCTACCTTCCGCAGAGATAAACCTTCTCTCGCCCTGTTTGTCCTAGTCGCACACCGAGTGAACACAGAGCGGCAAGCGGGCGCGTATCTCCAGCCTGTTGCAGTGCTGAGGGAGGGGAGGTGGAAGTCCGGGTTCCTTTCAACCGGAATTAGCCGAGAGGTGTGAGCCTGAAGTGTTTAGGTGTGAACGGCTCGGAATGGGAAAAGTTCGCCTTGACGCGAGGGGGGCGGGGGGGGGGTCTCATTATAATTTGCACCGCCGTCTTTTCCAGTTGATACCCCCGCGCGGGCTGCGAGGCGTTTAAACCGTGGGCATGAGAGTGTGGAAATGTCACGTTCCCATACTGACAGCTTCCCCGAGGCGGACCGAGCGTGCGAACTCCTCCCGACACGTTCCGCTCGCTCGTGTTTCTACTGCAGTAGTTCGGTGTGTCTGTGTGTGTGGGGGGAGGGGGTAGGGGTCGTGTTAGTTTTATTCTTGTTATATTATATACTTGTTCTATTATATATATTCTTGTTATATTCTTTTTATATTTGTTTTTATTCATACGTCCTGCCTCAACATCAAAAGTCGCACTTCATTCGCAGAATATAGTGACTTTCAACTCCCAGAAATTAAAAGTGGAAAAAGTGCCAGAAGGAGACTGGAGAGATGCACGTTCCCGAGGCCCTCCCACAGTCAAGTAGTCGCCGGCTCCGGACAGCCCTTGAAAACCGCGTAAAAATGACAAACCTAATACCTGCTTTGAGCAATAGGGATAATTAACGGATTCACCTCCACCGATCTGGAAGAAGTCCAGTCACAATAACACCGCAGTAGAGACTCGCGCGTTTCAGTGTGTGGTGGTTTCAAAGGTTGTGATTCCGTGACACCTTTAAAATAACGCGCCCGAGGGGGGGGGGTCTCTATCATTTTCAATTTCCGGTGTTAATTTTGTGTTTTTATTCCGAGATCTCGGGATCGACGTCCCGGCGGGGTCTGGTACTCAGGCGGCCGGCTCTCACTCGAGGCAGGAGCTCTCCTGCTAATAAAGGAATGGCGGTGACGTCCCTGGCGCCGATGCTGAGATCGGCTCAGATACACACACGTGTCAGGGAGGGGGAAGGAGAGGGAGAGCGGCGGGGTCGCAGGCAGGCAGCAAGGTGAGTTTGGCGGGGTTGTCATGTCTTCATTTGAATGTAAATCTCACGGGTCGGAGGACTCATCTGACGTCAGGGGATCCTCGCTATGGCGTTGCCACCAGCCAGCCTGTCAAGAGCGCCTTAATCATGTGTGATTGAAACACTTCGGCCAGTGCAGCGCCTGACCAGCAGCAGTCCCCAGAGTCGCGGCGGACAACGGCACAGACCGGAGCAGTGTTGGAGGGCGTTGGAGCTTTGAGAGAAGTCAGTCCGGCACACCCGGGGACAGCAGCATGTCGCCATAGGACGGCGGGGGGACGTGTGGGCCTTTTCTCAACATGTACGTGGGATACCTTTTGGAAAAAGAAGGCAGTATGTATCACCAAGGACCTGTGCGCCGTTCCAGCATCAACCTGCCGGCACAGAACTTCGTTTCTACACCGCAGTACTCCGACTACACGGGATACCACCATGTGCCCAGTATGGAAAGCAATCCCGCGCCGTCTTCGGGCCCCTGGGGCCCCGCGTACGGCGCGCCCCGGGAGGACTGGTGCGCCTACGGCCTGGGACCCCCGAACTCCTTGCCTGCGCCCATGAACGGCTCCTCGCCCGGGCAGGTCTCCTACTGCCCCCCGCCCGACTACAGCTCAATGCACCCTCCCGCATCCGGGGTGCAGCTGCCACCCCCGGAGAACGTGGCCGCGGCGATGCACTCGCCGGAGCGGGAGAGGCGCAACTCCTACGAGTGGATGAGAAAAACTGTGCAGTCGTCATCAACCGGTAAGGAAAGGGCAGCCGCACGTGTAAAATACTGACAAAGAACGCAAAACGTAAAATCAAGAGTGCGTCTTATTATTATTATTATTATTATTATTATTATTATTATTATTGTTGTTGTTGGAACTGCACAGACTCCGTGATTCTGTTACCTGCTGATTGATCTGCGGTCTCATCCAGTCGTTTCTTGATAAAAAAGCAGGTTTTCCGTGATCATCATTTTCACTCCTAATAATAATACCCTTTCTTATCGCTGCGTATTATTATGTTACCTATAACGACCTATTATAATTGCTAGTATTACTGGTAGTAGTAATAGCTCTTTAACAATTATTACCGTGGTTGCAATGGTCAATAAAACGGGTAGCGTGTTTTTTTAAAGCTGAACAGCCTACATTTACTTAAAAATGTAGTTTCCTGTAATAGATGACTTACTGCTCCCTGCTCCTTGATAATTGGTTTTCAGGGCGTTAACCTTGTTCTTAATCTTGATATTTGGGTTTAATAAGATAGGCATGTCCCAGGAAAAAAGTATGCCCACTTTGACAACTATCGCAAAGAAACTGAAGGCGGATCCGTTAATCTAGTACTGCACCTCGTGAATCTGAGAAGTGTTCAACCTCAGTGAACTGGTCTCGGTGATTTGTCAAAGGACGTGATTATTTATTTGAACACTGTTTATGTGTCAATTTCACGTACATGTGTTCCTATAAATGATGATATTTTCACGTGTATAACAACGTATTTCCAAGAAGGACTCGGTGTTTACCGTTTTCCATTCAGTAAACCAATTGAGAAATTATCATTTTTTGCTTAATAATTCGTTTTAATTAAATTAACTCGTAGGTTTCAGGAAAGGCTATAATTGAAATAGTTCGCTTGGACTTCTTAGAACTAGAGATTGTCTTATTCCAAATTAATTTGTATAAAATGCATCAAATCGTTATTACCACGGAAAATGTCATTACACAATATACATTTCAAACCTATATGCTACAGATTTACGCATATCTTAATTCACTATTACCTATTTATTCTTGGCTAGTCAGAATTTATTCCAAATATTCTGTAAAATATCTTTAAATGGTTCGCTGTTTTTCTATTTATTTTGCTGCTGTTTTATTTTAAAGAGCTATATACACACTATTTACTGAAATCGATTTTAACGGATACGTTTTTTCCTCAATTATATGAGGCAAAATGGTTTCAGCTTTTCGTGAAAATATACTGTTTTAAAACTTAATTCATTGATGACACTGCGCCTCTCTTATGACATTCAATCGTTTTTATTAGATCCAGTGTTGTTCGTATCGACAATCATTAACAACAACTAAAAAACTTTTAAATAAATATATACAATATATATAATAATAATAGAAACGGAAGTCTGGGAATTCAACGTAAATGAGTAATGAGAGCTGGCGAAGGCGATAAACACGATCTATTGGCGTGTGGTAGTATGCGCTTTGACCTCGGCTTCCTCGCAATATGAGGTTTTACTATCCTTATTTTTACTAGTATTTTTGTACACTTGTGGCATTCAATTGCAGGTTCAAAGGGTCGGGGTTGTCTGTATATTTTTCCGCGTATGAAGTGGAAAAGCCGGTGTTGGGTCGAGGCGCCAGCAGCGCTTGTAATGCTAATGTCCCTTCTCCCGTAAACGAGATGTGAGGTCTTATTTTTTTTTTCTCCAGAGCTACATTGTCCTGAGGTTTTGAGGGTTATCTGTCATATTCAGGCGGCGGTGCCCTTTCAACACTCAGTTTTACTTTGATATGCACCCGAACCTCTTCCTCGGTTCCTATTCTTCCGAGAGTTATATTGCCGGAAAGGGTGACGTTTTTCACAGCAAATAAAGATCTCTTGTCCCTGGCGCATTGTCTCGAGTGGTGACTCCCTGAATTTTATGGCCAAACTGAATGCAGTCTGAAAGCATTGCTCATATCGGCAAAAAGGTTGTTGAAATTTAACCCACAATTCTGCGCATAAAATACCAAGTTTTGTTCGAATGCAAATCGTTTATTAAGGGAAAAGGAACCGTAGGCAGATATTTCAAATGCACACTGGAGGCAAATCTATGGTTCAAAACGCACAAGGCTTTTAAATTTTTAAAATATCGATCGCAATTCAGTGCGGACTGCTGCCCCGTGAGATGTGTTGCTATTTGCCCTGGAATACTTTCAATTTCGGAAAACGAGAATGAGCCCGGTGTCTTTATTCACGCTGATGCTGAAACTCTATAAACTTAACATTCGGGCGGAAAAAACAAACAAACGAAACGGGTTGTAACTATGCAGCATTATCTTGTATTCTCGCCGATAATCTCATATTCTCTGCAAAATATTTTGTTAAAAAAATCCTGCCGTGGTTTTAATTCCTTTTCCCAGAGATGAAAGCCCGCCGACCTTTGTTTATGGTTTGTAAATCAAACACGAAGGCTTGATCCTGATCCAGGCCTGAGAGGGCTCCCCGATACTATCGCCTTGTAGCTCTTTTGTGAGTCGTGTGTTGCCTTTTAACACATCAATGGAGTTTAGGTAACGTCTATGAGTGGCTTTGTTCTGCAGTTTGTTCAAAAAGTCACATCAAAGAACACCAGAAACACAATTTACAGGCATCTGGCAACGAAGCGAAACAGAGCCCCACATTACACAACATTTTTTCGTAATATTTTGTTATAATTTACCGTCAATCGATTCCTGCCAGTATGTTACAAATGCAAACGTGTCTTTGGCCATTTTAACTATGACCACGTAGCATCTTGCATAACTACGCATTAGCATTGCATGGTGTACAGTGGAAATGACACTGAAGAGCCGAAATTGTTACTTTGCTGTGGCGTTGGAACAGTGTGACTAACTGGGATAAACGCCAGATCATTTACTGAGCCCAATGGCCACACAGATAGCGTTCGCGGATTTACACGTTTTAAATGGAGTTTTAAGGACTTTTCACAAATTCGAGAAAAATACCACATGCACGGAATATTTTTGCCGTTTTTTTTTTAAAGTTGTGTTGTGTTTTTATTACAGACGGTTGTATTTTGAAGTGCCCCCTGGTGCTGTATGATTCATGATGTGCAGTCAAGGCAAAATAATCTCCTGGAATTATTTTTAAGGCTTACGAATGGTGCTATTCTAAACCGGCAAAAACACTCGGGTTAACCCGCATGATTGCAGGGTCGTGTGCGAGTTAGGATAATAAGGAAAACCACAGCCATGGTGATCTCATTGTCCACATACAGTGGACATTTTTCTTTATCCTCACCGGGCCAATAGTAAAAACAGTGTAATGCAGAACACTTAAAACACTTAAAACCCCCGGTGGATTGTACAACCAATGCAATATAAATAATTTCCATATTAACACGAGTAATTGTTGTTGGCGTCGTTGTGTAAAATAATTGTGTAAATTGTGTAAAATGGTTTTCGGTTTCAGGTAAAACGAGGACTAAGGAGAAATACAGAGTTGTGTACACAGATCACCAGAGACTGGAACTGGAGAAGGAATTTCATTACAACAGATACATCACTATCAGACGGAAGTCAGAACTGGCGGTGAACCTCGGACTTTCGGAGCGACAGGTAGAAAGAGTCCAGATTCTAGGGGTTTGGGAAATTGTTGGAATGATGGAATCTATTTTAGTGTAAGTGGAGTAAAATCCTGACGCCTGAAAGATATTTAGATCTGAGTAACCCAGACTTCACTCACAATTCAACGGCTTAATCTTCTGAGGCATTGCAGAAGAAAACCCCCGTTTAGCAAGGGTTAAGAAGTTTCCCCTGTATTTAATGACATTAACGCCGTTCCCCGATGGAAAAACAAAAAAAAATCATTAAAATTTAACAACTCTTTCCCTCTGCAGGTGAAGATCTGGTTTCAGAACCGTAGGGCCAAAGAGAGGAAGATGATCAAGAAGAAGATGGGTCTGTCCGACGGCAGGGGAGGCTCGGTACACAGCGACCCGGGGTCAGTGAGTCCTCTCCCGGTCCCACCTCCATTGAGCCCTTCGGATATTCACGGGTCGATTTACCAGCCACCTGGGATGAATACCTTACCACCCATTGGAAATATACAGCAAATTACTGTTACCGTGAAAAAGGAGTCGCAACTGGCGACGTACAACCAGGCCGAGCACCCTGACGCACTGAGCAGGCAGTTCTGCCCAACTTAAACTCCCGCTTTTTTCCAAACTCTGCAGAGCGAGATGTTCAACCGTCTTCGACAGGATACAAATGCAAAGTGCGAGTCGAATTTTTTTGTGACTGAAAAAAAAAACTGCTACAGGCTCTTCTTCGTTTTACTACGTAGTTTAGTTATTTTTTTATAAAAAGAAAATACAAAACGTCCCCACCGTCAGTGTTCTCAGAACCACAATAACTTTTTTTATTTTGGTAGATCGTTTCTTCGCGTTTGGTTTGTTTATGAAGATATAAATATCGTTCTTTTGTATGTATGGTGAATGTAAAAAAAATACTTTTAAATGTTTGTAAATTAAAGTAAAAAAAAAGAAAGCCTGATTCAGGTAGATGTTTTAAAGAAGTCCAACGTGAATGGCCTTATGTTTCCCAAGAGGAATTTCTCCAATCAGTGCTGGAATTGCACGGGACAAAGGACTAAGGGCTTTGAGGCTGTGCTGGCGCACCGAACCTGCACAGAACCGACTCCTGCAGGTCGTGTGCCCTCTGGGGCGACGCACAATTTCGATGCCTGCGTGAGGCAGGTGCAATTCTTTATACGTCGAGTTAATACGGGTACATTTGAGTGCAAACGTTCAGTGCTGTAAATAAAAATGTTTCCTTTGTTTTTTTTTGCAATTAAGGAGTGATTTTTTTTCCTCTATGTGACGCAAACGAGGGAATCGTCTAGTTTGAGGAGGAGATTGGAGACCTGAGTGTTAGAAATATGAAAGACTCACTATGAACGTTGAACCTGAGTAAATATCCTGCATCCATAAGATCGTGATAATCTTCTTCGTGACGTGACTATTTTTAAAGTATTTCAAGTATTTTTTATATTAAATAATATTAAAAAAGTGTGGAGCTTAATTATTCTCTGGCATCCTAGAATGAGACTTTGTAGTTTTGTGATATTTGGATTACGCTTCGTTATTTTCTGTTGGACAATAATTGTTTTACAACGAAATTTCACGTCAGACTAAACTATAACATTTAGCCCACTGATTTAACTCTCGAGTGAAAAACAGCCGACTGACGTTTCCCGACGGCACCACGAGAAAGGACCAGAAGGCTCTTCTAGGTTAAATAAATTCAACAGCCTTCAGGGTGTATAAGAATCAGAAATGACAACAAGAGAAGAATAGTTAAAGTTAAACTAAGTTTAAGAAGTACATTTCCCGCTTACATTCAAAGCACAAGAAGAATCAAACGAAAATTCAAGAACGCAAATCGTGGGTTGGCAATATAGGCAACCGCTCTTCGGTTTAATATTTCTTTTCAGTTTCTAAAATAATTGTTTCACTAATGGAAAAATTACGCCTCAGTAAACCCGCTTATCTTTAATACAGCTAGTGATTTTAAATCGAGGTGTGCTGGCGTCAGTAAATCGTTTCTGGACTGGAATATGGTCGTATTTGCATAGGGTATCAAAAATGAGCTGTCGCAGTTGTGGTGTTGGTGCTTCTCCCAATACTACCAAGGAATGTAAATGCGTTTGTTTGTTTTTTTTGGCTTACAATATCCTGTTTTCCTAGAAGCATGTGTTAAACAATTAGTGTTGGTTACATCAAAATATTGAATTGGGAGCCGATAAAGCCCACTTTGGTGTAAACGGACTTTGGGTTAACCGATTCTGGGTCGTGGCTGCACTCTTTCAGCTGCGTCTGTGTGCTGCTGCAGTTGCCGCCGTGATGTGGTTCAAAGGTCGCGTTTTTATTGTTGTTCCCAGGATTTATAAAATGTACTGTCTCTGGGATCATTAACCTTCAACGTGTAAGGTTCTGGTGCTATTTGGTTGTCTTTAATTGAGTTAAAAGAAAGCTTTAGGGTTAAAATAACATGCGTTCATAACAAATAGACATTTTCCTACCCAGTACACCATTCTGAATTTGCCTGAATAGGCATACTGTGTGAAGCTTTGGGTGATTTTCTTTTGTTATATTATTTATATCTTATTATATACTGCCCTCTATGAATTGGCTTCATTACTCTGATCTCCTCCCCACTGAGAGCTGGTGTGTGGGGAGCGTTCTGGCGCACTATGGCTGCCGTCGCATCATCCAGGTGGGGCTGCACACTGGTGGTGGTGGAGGGGATCCCCATTACCTGTAAAGCGCTTTGAGTGGAGTGTCCAGAAAAGCGCTATATAAGTGTAAGCAATTATTATTATTATTTGACGCCCAAGATCCCTTATGTTTGGGTGTGTGTATCGAGGGGTTAAACATGTAAATATGTTCAGAGATGCTAGATGTTAAACCAAATGTGTGATTCCTAATGATTTCTCCAGATTGGTGTAATTCTGTATGTTTCAGGTCACATCATACAGCAAAGCCGAATCCGTGAAAAAAAAAGTCTGAATTTATGTGCCTGGCTGTTTTATTGAATAGGGTCACAGTGGGTTGATAAGTTTGTGTTAATCGCAGCAGAATTAGAATTCAGAAACAGATGGGCTGCTATCGAACTGGGCGACTCTGTGCACATAACCTAAACTGCATCACTGGGGGCTACAGACACAGGTCCGGACGCGGTTGGCCCTCCAGACTAAGTGGGCATTTTTACCTGTCAAATAGGTGGGGATCTCGGGGCAGGAGAGCAAGGTACCCACCCCCTGCTGGGCAAGAAGCGCGCACTCGTGTCTATGTAACCGAGTGACGCGCTTCTCGGCGGCGTAGGTGACGTCATGAGCGTCCTACTGCCCAACATGGCGGACTTCGACACCATCTATGAACTGGACGAGGAGGAGGAGCGGGTGGTGAGCGAGGAGCATCTGGCGAGATATTGCCCGGAGCCCGTTATTATGCGCGGGGCTGGGCACATCACCGTGTAAGCAACCGGGGACTGTGACGTTTCTCGGCGGAGTTCGAGGTTATGTCGTTACCCGAGTTCGGTGGCTCTGATTGGTTTTGTGTCGGTCTGTGGGTAGGCCCAGGCTGAAACCGGCCACTTTCCTGTAAGGTGACGCCGGCGACAGGCGGGCCAGGCGTTTTTTAGCAGGGAGGGTGGCTGCACGGCTCCATTGTTGTTTTTAAGCACTGTCGCCTATCCCACAGGGATATTTATAAAAGGGTGGATGACGTATTGTGTTCCCCAGTTCCGTGCGTTCTGTTTTATTATGCGTGATGTATACCAATTAAGCACGCCGACTTGCAAAAGTAACTTCACCGTTGAAACATTTTTTTTCCACGACAGCATCTAAATATTGAAAGCACTGCATGATTACACAGATATGTCATACGACGTCTTGTGTGCTTGTTTTGTTGTGTGTGTGTACATGGATTATTCACACCGTCTCTTGGTACCGAGCTGCATCGCTGAAGTCCAGTGTTGACCAACGCGTTCAGGTGTCCACGCATTCCACGCGAGAACACCCCGAGCCACACATTTCAGAAGGCACGTGTGCGCTTTTCCGTCCTCTCTCACACGTTTCTCCATCCCGCAGGCGTGAGATGCGGGAAGAAATATCACCGCGGTGTGTTTAGGAAAGGAGAGGGGTTTGTACAGTAGGTCCAGCACTTGGCTCCTTTTCTGTATCGGCAAAGGCAGAAACACAATCCTTCAGGCACTTTGTGTTGCAGTGTAGTCTGATGAGTGAACTCGCTCGTATAAGGTGCACAGCCGCTCCTGTGCCTGCCTGCCCTGAGCACGGCCACGGCCGTGTGTTTGCCAGCTCCTTGTTTCAAATTTATATTTAACTTTGCCCTCAGTGGTGTTAAATCCTATTGGCGACGCCATGTGCCACTTCTCTGACTGATCTGCTGTGCTGTGGTGCTCCTGTTGCTTAAAGACCAGGTCTGCAGAGGCTGGTAACTAATCCCCTGGTTAATAATCCCTTGCATTAATATAGTGCTTTACTCCTACATGTAAAGGTCTATATTAATGAAAATACTAACCACAGCATTATTTTTATTCACAAACACACCTTACAGTGAACTGAAAACCGGGAACTGCTTTTGCAGAAACCGTGCAGCAGTGTGCTGAGATCCCGACAAGCCTGGAACCCACGGAGGTACTCCACTGCCCACGGCTGTGGAAGCTTGTCAAGTACGAAACACGCAAGCCGAACATAATAAGTCGCGTGAAGGTGCAGGAAGTCCACGAAAGCAGGCCAGCGGTACGGGGGGGAGCCCCCATGCCTGCAGAAGGGGCAGGGCAGGGTGGACTGGGGTTTTAGTCTGGTCCTCGCGGTGCTGTACGTCCAGGTTCTCAGCTGGCACCATCCTGTCTCTTCAAGTCCAGGCATTTAAGCCAAAGGACAATTTCTAGAAATACATGGACTTAATATGGTAGAATACACTGAGGCCTTGGAGAACAGAAGTGCAGCTTGTATGCTGTTCCATTTTCTTACGTTGTCACTGTCATTGTGGTTTTGGTTTCTGGGCCTTTCCTCATTAACAACTCGTTTACGGCATTTTCAGGACTTTGTTTTTGTCTGCAAAGTACTGTGGGTAAAAGCTTTGTCTTGTTTTTGTGACTAAAAAGTCATATTCTCTAACGGTTATTTTTTTTTTTATCCTTTCCCATTTAAAGGTTTGGCTTGAGCAACAAATTTGATACCGAATTTCCTTCAGTTCTTACCGGAAAGGTAATTTTTACGTTACTTTACTTTAAGTGGAAAGTTATGAATGTTCAAGGCTAAAGGTTATGCAGCAGCAAACAAACAAAATATGAATGAAAAGATTTATAAGGCTCTTGACCTTTCTGCAGCTTTGAATATTATATAATTATTTTTCCCAGTGCTTTCACCTTTACAGAACAAAGAAAGAAACTAATGCAGTCATAATTTTACAGCTGCTATATCTTATGTCCTTCGTATCATATGCCACATAGGACATTTTTTTTCCTAATTTTTAAAGAATGAGTGAAGCTATAAGGTTTAAAAGTATAGACTTAGTTCCATCATTGCCGTGAAATTTGGAAATGGCATTTTCATATTTCAGTATTTACCATCTTAGAATTAAACTGCAGCTTCCAAGTGTTATGTGCAAGTGTTTCTTGGGCTGATCATTCAAGCACACCACAGCAGGAAACAGAAAACGGGGCCCAGTCGCAAATGGCATGCTGTCTGTGGGGTTTCTGTTACTTTGGCAGGGCCAGGACAGACATTTCCAGAGACTGGAGTGCGTTTTAAGCTGAGCTCTGTCAATGAGTAAGCCATCTCTTGGCAATGTCAGTGAAAAACCGGGGCGCAGGGGAGTGCAGCTCCAGGTGACAAAATAACAACGGAAAGACCGGACCATGCAGGAGAAAAGAAAGCTTCCTGGCCCCAGACCCTGAACACAAAAAGCCCACAGGGGGATGGCTGTGCACGGGGAAGTGCAGGGCAATAAAGGGAACCTCCAGTATTGTGACCCAGGGTGACACGTGATGGACGAGGTCACGATTATGATGATTGAAGGGTGCAGATCAGGCCTGCTGGGCTTTATACTTAGTGTTTCGCTGTTTGCAAAGAGACCTTTGCATCCTGTCATAAAAGATTACGACCCCTGTTTTATAGCATACATACCCAGAAAGGAATGGGCACCCATTCATGTTGTGTGGACTGTCCAGCCGCGGGGCTGTATGCTTATCTCTCCTGTTTGTCCCCCTGTGGCCTGAAGAGACAAAAGCTGGGCAAGTGGGTCACAAACATACAATTTGGAGATTTCATCAGATCTCAGAAGAGCATCTGCAACCATGTACCTTTTTTTTTAGTTACCTTTGATCTACCAGACATCAGATCAGAGAAGAAGACGGTGCATCTTGAGTACAATTTGGCTTATTTTGCATCGAGGTGAATCGTGAGGCAAGGGGCAGCATTTTTTTACACCCCCTGCACATATGGTTTTATTTTGCTGTTGTTGCCGTTGCCCGTGTGTTATCATATTATTGCAAAGGTGCTCTTGTGTTCAGATGTCCAGTGACACAGTGAAAGGTACTGTAGAAAAACAAAACAAGGTGTTTTTGCCCTCCAGTGTTTCAACCCCTCCAGTATCAAAAATAACTATTGCTATGTGTGCATTTTGTTGAAACAAAGAAATCCCACTTTTTCCTAATTTTTTTATTGTTCTTCCAATCCTTCCTTCTGCTGCAGGTTGCTCCTGAAGAATTCAAGACAAGCGTGGGGCGCGTGAATGCGTGCTTGAAGAAAAACTTGCCTGTAAATGTAAAGTGGTTGTTCTGTGGTTGTCTTTGCTGCTGTTGCACATTGGGCTGCAGTTTGTGGCCGGTTATTTGTCTTAACAAAAGAGTAAGTATCCGCGTGACTCTCCTGTATGTCTGGCGTCTGTTTGTATCTTGTGTGCTCCTTCCGTGCAGTCTGGCTTCACATTCAGAATAGCTCCGTGCTCGGTGAGATGAAAACATCTGTGTGTCATTAGTGGTGGAACACATAATCACTGATTCACAGCTCCGATGTTGTGTGTAAGCATGTGCATGTAAAACACAACGATTGTGTTTGGTTTGGAAGAAGGTAAAGGGGGGAAAAACAAGCCTGTAAAATAGCAGGCTGCTTCAAAAACTGTTTCTTGATCCCCTGCATCCTGTTTTTGTGATGTTTTTTAAAATTCTTAAGAATTGAAGACCAATGTCTTTATATTAAGGTGAGACTATTGAGTTTCTTGCTGATGCTTGTTGTGCCGGGATCAGCTGGGTCCGTCCTCCTGGCAGATAGAAGATTGGTTCTGCTTCAGCAAGACTGTGCGTTGCAGACTGTGTCTAGGTGGAAGGCTGTCACTGTTGTGTTTTTATCACACTTACACAGAGTTGAGTCATAGCCTCCCAGAAATATTAAACAAAATGTTCTCTTTTTTTTTCTAGACAAGAAGATCAATTCAGAAATTATTAGAATGGGAAAATAACAGATTGTATCATAAGGTGGGTATACAGAAATAATCTAACATACACATGTAGTTCTGTGAACAGTGATGAAAGAGCACAGGTTTATTTCCATCAGGATAATCCAACCCGGTACCTGGAGAGTTGAAGTCCAGTTAGTCTTATGGGGCTTCAGCGTGTTGTGACTTCTGTTACAAATGATTTTTAAATTAATTTAACAGGTCACCTATTTAACAGATCAGGGTTCAATCATTCCAGGCCTTTGGAAGTAGATGATTTAGTGCTTCATTGTTAGAATTTTCTCAACCTCCCAACCTTTTCCGTCTCACAGCACACTTACATAAATCTAAAAATCCCCCCTGCCAGCGCTCACAAACACACACACTGTGTACACACCGACACATTATAATTGACATTGTAAACAAAACTTAATACTACTGGTTTAAGTGGTGTCTTAAAAGTAATGTAATATGTATGGTTTACATGGTGACTTGATAGATTATTTTAAAAAGGATTGTGATCTGTAAAAAGTGTTCTGCAGAACTGTAGTTTGATCCTATGTTTTTAAGATGTACAAAGTGATAAATTCTAACGTTGTTTACCACTAATTGTAAGCCAAGGGCTTACTCACTGCAGATTGATGGTTCTGACTAAAAGAACCACAGAGCTGTTGTTATCAGCTTAACAGTGGTAGTGTTCCCAATTATATTTTTAAGAAGATACTGGGATCTTCGAGAAGGTGCCTCATCCGCAATGAATAAATACCCTGATTTTCTGCACAATAAAACATTTCTTTGTGTACATCGAAAATATCTGACATCCCAGGTAGGGGAGGTGACATCATTGCTGAAGCTCTTAAAGTGTGTTAAAACAAGATTAGCGTGAAACTTCACAGGTTTTGCAATATATGTAGACATATGTTGAGCATAGCTGTAGCCTCTCTTTAAATCACCCAGCTTTAGTTATTTTCCCTGGAGGCTGATCTGTTGATAGTCTACAGAAGCTAAACCATCGAGGGAGGGGTCAGCAGTTCAGCTCACATACACAGAAAAACTGCTGTATTTCGTCTCGAGACGTGATTGATAGCTCGCAGCAAAGTTTGACCAAAACAGGGAAACCCAGTCGACCTGCAAAGACAAGGTTCTGTGTTAAAACACTGCGAATGCAGAAGGTGTAGAAGTATTGCACACAGCAGAAGCACTAAAGATAAACAGAATTCCAGGGCCCGATGCTATTTGACCAGATTGTACTAAAGGAAACAAAAGAGGTTTTTAATAGACTGTTAACAGCACTCCTCCAGCAGTCACTGAAGACAGGGGAAATACCTATTGACTGGAAAATTGCTAATGTAACACCAATCCATAAAAAGGGCAACACAGCTAAACTAAGTAATTATAGGTCAATGGGTCTTATTTTCATTAAGGTTAGGTAAGGTTATGGACACAATAATTAGAATCAAACTAAAGGATAACATGTTTGGCAATAGGTTTCTAAGGGTTACTTGTCATGGATGTAGACAAGGCGTGTGTGTCTTGCGCTATGTGTTTTTGGTCTTTGAATCGGTAATGGTTTCCTCATAATAAAAATATTACATTTTGTACATCAGGCTATTGCTTGTCTTTGGATTAAGTACTGGTTATTATATAAAAATAGAGTAGAGGGTATTGAAAGCTCCTAAATTGCTGAACACCGTACTGCTGTTCTAGTCGGTAGATGGGAGACCGCATCGTTTAGAAGCTTGTGTACCAATGTGGACGCTGTTTTCCAGAATTGATATTGCTACTCGAGATTTGATCCAAGGCAAAGTGAACAGATACTTTTCCCTGGCCTCAAGGAAAGTCCTGCACTGACAAGCTAGAGATTAGCTCTGAGCAGAGACGACCACTAGGGAACAGATTGACAGAGTCAACCAAGAGGACTTTTCCAGAACCCCCAGTGAAAGGGTTGAGCTGGCCAAGGCTAAGGTACATGACCGGTGGAATATCTCACACCATTTCTAGGTACAGTTATCAGGCAGGTTTAGCATTGCTCGGATCTTTGCATCTATTAATCTCCTGATTTTAGATTAATGAATTATTTTTATCTCAAGAAATTAAAATTTTCAGATTTTTTCATTTTCACGTAATAACAGTGGGTGGATCAGTACATATAAGTTGTTTTCTATTCTTTCTTCCAGCTTGGTCTTCACTGGAAGTTAAGTAAAAGGAAATGTGAAAGCAGTAACATGATGGAATATGTGAGTTTCTCATTGATTTTTTTTCTTGCTTTTATTTTTTCGTATATTATTTCCCAGGTTGATTTTAATATTAAAAACATTCTGGCTATCTACCAGTGAGAAGCCCTGTAATAGGAAATGACAAATTCTACTTCTCGTGTTTTAAAGAAACAATTACTTCCATTATTTGATCTATCTGTGTATCTAATCACATCTTAAAGCCTTTATCTTTATCTTGAAGGAGTCAGTGGCATTCTCTTTAGCACAATTGGTACAGTAAAAATCAGTGATCAGTGGGAAACCATAAAGACTTCAAAAGCAGCACTAATTTACAAGGATAACCACAGAAGGGCAACTTGCCTGACAGTCAGTGAAAACAGATCATAATCACTCTTCAAAGTCTACCAGCAAGGACTTCCAGCCGTATAGTTGTAAATGGTATTACAACAGCAACTGCATCTCTGTATGATGGGGCAGTTTATTCTAATTTCTAAAATGTTATCAAACCTACAGTTTCAGTTTGGTGTAACTGCACATGCGATTATATAACGCTGTGCTTTATTTTCAGCAGCTCCTTAGAAAACTCACCATTTTGAACACTTGCTTAATTAGTTCCACTTACAGGAAAAAAAAGTTTATTACTGAATGCAAATTAAAAATCTATGTTGCTTTTGTTGGGCAAACTATTTTTCTAGCATGGTCAGTTGTAGGAAAATCGCCCATAATGTTTACTCAGAACTAACAGATTTGTTTCTTTTAATACCACAGGAAAAAAAAAGTTGTATGTCTCTCTGAAAATGAAAAGAAACTTGCTTGAGCCATGTATTGATTTAATTCTCAATCAAACTTTCATTTTTTTTTCCCCACAGGTAATTCTTATAGAATTCCTACCCAAGTATCCTATATTTCGGCCGGACTGAAGAGATTCCCAGGACATCCTGCTGCGTGATTTTTCATTCCTATCCTTAGTGCCTTGTAGATGTGTTGGACAGACAGTCTATGCTGCTGTGTTGTAATAACCTAGTACCTTGTACAGCAGAAACGCGACACTGTCACTTCAGCTTTAGAGCAGATTTTGCACACTTTCTTGCATAAAGTGATGCTCCCTTCGTTGCACTTGAGACTTATAGTTGTAAACGACAAGAAAGGTAATTGCCATCGAGAACCTTAACACTGGTGCTGTTTTAAATGTGCGCAAAAAATCCTGCAGGCAGTTCTGTTGAAAATAACCTACTCAAAGATAGGGTGCAGACACAAGCACGCTTATACATTATATATTGCTTATACCTCACAATCCATACCTCTTGTGTTTGTGGAATTAAGTGAGGTTTCGTAAGGGGACTGGCATAGCTCATTTCCTGTGTCACCTGTCCCCTTATGTTCCTGTATATAATACACGCTTTTGTGTATATTGTGTCACCTGCAAAGTGACACGTCGGACTGCTGTAACCTCATACAGTTAAACCTGGCAGAGCTGATTTCTCGTAGCGCAAGGGGTTCCACCTGGTAGAAAAACGTCTTACACGGATTGCGTAGACAGGGGGTTGGCCGCTGAGCTCAGACCAAAGTTTTACCTTCGACTCGACAGCTGAAGGGATTGCCGCTGTGCTCAGTTCGGCAATCTGAATTCCAGCGTGGTGGCCCCTGGCATTCCTGTTCGGCGAGGTACTTATTCCGGTGAGCCGGACTCCTTTTTGATTTTTCTGGCACTTATCGGATACGGGGGGACGTGGCTTCCCAGCCGAACAGCTGATACCGTCCTGTGCTCCCCGGATGGGTTTCCTGTAACTCTGGTTTGCCACAGACATGCACACCTATCCACGCCCCCATGGCCAGAGGAATTCACTTACCACGCTGTAGTAATGTGGTTTTTTTTTGGCCATGAGGTTCATTCTTGCAGAAGTATCATCCATGCAAATGTTCAGACGGCCATAACACCAGAGCATTGGGGTGTGCCGGTTTCCAATCCGTGAGGTTTAATCGGTTCGTCCCAGAGTCGCCGGACGCGCCGGGTTCGCCACTCGAGCATCATGGGGGCATGGCGGCACGTGGGCAGACCCCTCTGCCGACCGACCAAGGGGCGGTTTTCTCATTTCGGCCGACTCAACGATCCGCCTCCATAAACCCAGCTGGTGTGGCGCCACAGCCGAAGAGCTCAAACCTGGTGGTTTAAATGTGAAACCTTTTCTTCTTTTTGTGTTCTTGAAGAGTGTTTTTGTGCGTTTTGCAAATAAAGCTTAGAGGAACACCATCGCTAATTTCTAAGCAAATTGGAGCAAATTAATCCACAGATCAATTAGACGCTCATACTACAAGAAATTATCACCTTAAAAAGTTTTGAGTTCATGTCAAATGCAGTGCAGGAGCATATTTAAGGCAGCATCACTTTTTTCTGCACTTTGGAAATTACCTTATATTGAGAGGTCAAGAAACAAGCCTGTAAATAGTGCTTTAGCACATAATGTACAGTGTGGTATGCCATTGTTTACAGAATGTAATATACTTTGTTTTGCCAAGAAATTAATGTACTGTAGATTTATGAAGAGATTTCTAAGTATCTGCTATTTATATGGACCCATTTATCTAGCAAGCCATATTAGTTATGTACATAAACGCTAGACAAAAGACTGAAAACTTGCACTTCAGTAGCAGTTCTCCAGCTGAGGGAGAAGTATGGACTGTCTTCAGTTCACATGAACACTTCCTTGTCACAGAGTCAAGTCACTCCATGGGTGTGCTTTGTAACAGTACTGATGGTGTAAAGTCAAATGGGGATTTGCCAACTAGGGATTTTTTTTATTATTTTTTTACATCGTTGAATTTGTACTTTCAAGTACCACGTTTTCTTTCTATTGATAATAAATATGCATTAGTTATCCATGCTGTTCATGGACTTTTGTATTAATGGATTAGTCGGTTGATTGATTAATACAAAATTGCTCTTGGCTTCTAAAGTCATTCACTCTTCACATATCTTCTCATCTTGTGCTGTAGACACAGGCTCCAAGTTTTACCTATATTTTCCTTCTTCCTCGGTACCCTCAAGTACTTCACTGGTGTGGTGTACACTGCACATTTTCTTTCGTTAGCTAAACAAAATGACTTTTAAGGTCCGATGGAAAGGTCAGACATTGTGTACAGTGTCTTGTTTATTTCCAAATACAAGACAAGGAAGAAGGACTACCAGCACGATTTAGGCTGGTGCTAGAGGCCAAGGGAAAAAGATAAATCATGGGACTGCTTGGCTAATTGTAATAAAGGAATGAAACATCATCCCAGGCGATGAGAGGGATTCAGTAAAACAGAGCTCTCTTCAGTGTCATTCCTACTCGAGACAGTACTATTTTTTAAACATGACTTGATTCCTAAGGATCACTGAAACAGTTTATTCAGTGGTTTTTACTTCTGTTTTCATTGGTCCACGGTGAAACTGGATTAAATTATTTTAATGTGTGTGTTTTGTGTTTCCTATAGCTAAGAATCGGGGATTCGTGGTGAATTTCTACTTTCAGAACGTGAAGCAAATTGATTTTGCATTAATGATCTATCGGATGTTTCACTCCATGTTATTTGCATGTTTTCTCCTTATGATTCAAAACGATTTTATTCTGGCAGCGGATCTTCCTTGCCCCTGTAGTGTGTGGGAACTGTGTGAGGACAGGTTATTTGTGAATAACGCTGACTGTGAATTAATTCACTTGTAGCCGTTAGAGGAAGTGTATTTCCTTAGTTCCGTTAATAGTGCAATGCATAAGACGTTTCTAATTCATGCAAAAATATTTCTTCAATTCTGACGCTTTTGAAAATGTGCTAAATCAAATAGTCAAATAAAGAACATAAGAGTCAGTAAAAACAAGGGGTGGGAGTATCTGGCAAATGTCGCTCATTTTATTTAACTACTGTACCTGTTGGTGAAAATGGGCATTGCGATGCTTGTTGACATTGTGGTTTAGATTTAGGTTATTTTCATCGGCCAAGTAAGTGAATAATGTTCATTTACAGCATTTTGTTACACAACGGGTTGGGTTCTGACAGGGGTAACAAGCTGTTAACAAGGTTTCAGTAAATAATTCCACATTTAACTTGGCGATATGAACTGTTTTAGTGAGAGGAATAGTGCACACTGTAGCATGACAGCTGTGAATCTTGACTGCTTTTCTTTGCTAGTGCTGTGTGTTCCACCTTGATTCTGCATGCACACGAATTAGTTGCCAATATGTTAGCTTTTATGTAAAGAGTATAAAATGAATAGATTCAATTTTTGTTGTAAAAATGTATTTTTATAACTTTTTTAAATATTCTTTTTCAAATACATTTGTTTAAAGTTCTGTTTGCAGCCTGTTTTTATGTACAGTCATTGGGTTTGTTATTTGAGGAGCAGTCTTATGTAAAATGAAGCTTGGAGAAAGAACATTTGCAAACTTTTTTTTTGGAGAATTTACAGCATTTTCCCTTTATTTGTGCACGGTGACTTTTTAGTACAATCGGAAAACAACAGGATCTTTGGGACAGAAAGATGTTTTGCTCACTTGTGGTTTTCTTGAACCCTGGACGACCGAAGGACCTTAAAGTCATTGGACCTGATTGAATTTGGATTCCAGAAATGAAGAGCACATTTCATACTGCACATTTCCCAACAGCTGTTCTTTAAACCGAACTGGAGCGACGATCAGCACCGGCAAATGTGCAAATTGTACCAGAATGATGTATCTGTGGGAATTTGTTAAAAGACCTCTGTCATGCTTGTCAGCGAAATAGAAGCCGATAACCTCAGGATTTCAAAGCTGAAAATAAAAACTACAGATCTCAAAGAGCGTGTCTGTGTGTTCCGTCAGGATCGGTGTGAGGTGTTCGTGTTTTGCTCTGCGTTGAAGACTGAAAGAGTTTCTTCTGTTGTGGAAAGAACGGGGAAAACGACAAACAATATCTCGTTTTCCGAGACGATGGTCAAATAATATAGAACATATTTAAAGATACGCAGATATTAAATAGTTTCAAAGAGGTATGCGCATCACTCCCCAATTCGTAACGAGTGTTTTCACTTCACAACACCTTTTAATGTTGTCACTTACCAATATTTTGTAACAGTGATGGTACCAATCGGTTTGTGGCAAAACTCCCATCAGTGAGGTTGTCCCTGCTGCGAAATGGGGAACCCAGTGGACAAGCAGTCGCTCCTCAAGGAATACGCGGGACTTTAGGACCGCGGGAAGCGCAGCTCTGTTTTCCTTTAGGAAACCGACCAGCGATGGCGGAGCTTTAGCCAGGCAGGAATCACAATCCTCTTGCAAATCAGTTTTTATTTAAAAAAAAACTCCAACCTATTTTATTCATTAAGAAAAAGAAACAACAGCGATGAATTGATGGCGAGGCCCTGCTGGATCTTAAAAATCCCCCTTGATAGGAACACCAAAATTTGACATGTCATGCAAAGCCCCCTTTTCCAACAGCAATAAAATTGTTAAATTGGACGGGGACCATGGCGACTGAGGTGGGTACTTCAGCCCCGAGCTCGATAGCACATCCTGGGGTCGAGCCCGAGGAGGATGAGGAACACTGGCTATACGGGGGTAAATATTTTCATGAACCACGCCAAGCCTGCCTCTGCTCAGCTCGTTTGAATAAGAAGGGATAGGGGGGTCGCGAGGCCTACAGATAAGCTATACAGCTCCTTTTTTATTAAAGCACGTATGATCTGACCCGTGTACGGTTTGGGATGCTTCGCGTTACTTAATTATATGATCTTCTGGGGGGGGATATATATCGTAGTAAAAGGAGGAAAAAATAACGTTTGCTCGGGCGCATCCGCTTGGGCAGTGTGTTCGCTGAAACCGGCTGATGCTCTTTGAAGCATCGCAGGTTGTTCCGTGATAACAGCCGCACACGTCAGGCTAAAATAACAGTGTTCGCACACCGGCTGCTGATCCTGAAGACGGTAAAATTAAAATTATAACCGAGAGACGCGTTCGCTTATTTGCGGCTGTTTAAAAGTTCCTCCTTTCTTCAGTGTAAAGACCATGGTCATACAAGCAGTGTGTAAAGAAGTTATCCGCTTTGGCGGAGGGCAGTTCTTTTGAAACAGTCCGAAGCGAAGGGTTAATTATACAATCCCGGTCACTTGTTTACTACAGTATTTGAAAGAAATATCGTCGCAATACTTAAAGCAACCAGTACACGTGCGACATCCAGAAATCAATAACCTATCTACAGTTTCTGATGGATGTATGATAATACATGAGTGTCACCAGAAACTCGTGTTTTCGCAGATGAGAACTCTGAGAAGCAACCCGGAGACCCGGCGCCAGGGTATGAGAGACATTGCATCTTTTATTGCAACGCATTCGTTTGTACTTAAAACTCACCCGATCCCTCACGAAAATAACCTAGAGACATGTTACAATTTTAATTTCTCTGTATTCGTACGAGACGGCTCACAGTACACCCTGAAACATGGTTTTTGTGAGAGTAGTATGGGCGAGATATCGTCAGTTTGTTTGGTGACAGTTCTGGTGATATTTTCACCATTAAAACTATAACGTTTCCTCTACAGCGATGTCATTGTATTGTCATACAGATACATTGCTTGGGAAACCTGAGAGAAACGCAGTGGTCTTTCTTACCGTTAAGGAGAAAGTTTGAAATGTTCCTTAATCTCAGACGACAGACGGACAATACATCACCTCTTATTTACATGTACAGATGCTGTAAAAAAAAAAAAAGAATAACACGTGTCTGACAAGTTGTTGAAGCAACAGATTTAAGTTTAACATCTTGAATTGTCGGGTTCACAGGAGTTACTTGATCTTAACAGCATTAAGACTGTAATTATGATAAATGACATTTACTGTCGGGTTCAGAACAGTCTCGGAAAGACTGCGAATATAGTCTCTGAATAGGAGGTATTTTGGTAGTTGGTAGATAAGTGAGCAATCAAGCAAGGGAATGTTAGGGTGTACTGGACTGACTGAAGGCGATAGTGGGACAGTAATGACACACTGGTCTTGAGAAGCTTGTTTTGTTCCTAGTGAGGCTGAAAATGGGCAGTAAAAGCTACATTGCCTCATCTGATGGAGAACTACTGCAGCATGCAGATCTAAGCTGTAGCCCAAACTCTTCTGATGCTTAAGAGTGAATAAGCTGATAAGTGAGAAACAGAATCTAGGATGCAGTAAGTGTAATTCTAATTTACTGCTTCGGTTATCGCAGACAGGGGGTTCTGCAGTTGGGAGCAGTTAGCACTATACGGCACTATAGTGACCCCAACAGGTAGACAAGTGGCCATCTCCCCTCATTCAGAATCACACAGACTCTGCATAGTGGCAGGTGTGGATCAGAATGCAGTATCTTCCCTCCTGGGTAGAAATGAAGACGGAGGGGGCAAACTGAGTGTACACCACAGGACAGGACGATTGGAGAGCAGACAGAAAATGACATCAACAGTTGCGTGTCTGCGACAATCCCTGTAGGAAAGGGGGATCAAATTCGATGTCGCGCGATTAAGCTGTTCTTTCCTCCTTCTCCCAGATTCCCGGATTCCACTCAGGAAAGTCACGTCAGCAGCTCGGAGGACAAGGACACCGCAGACCAGGTGGGAATTTCCTTGTCTCTCTTGTCCCAAAAAAACCCAGAAATGACAGCAGTTACTAAGGTCCATGCCTTTGTGCCTTCTGCAGTGCTGTTTCCTGCCCTCGTGTTTCCCCTGCTAGGACACTGTGCTGTGCCTGCTGGCAAGATCTTTTAGACTTGTTAATCCACGAGCAGATGGGAAAGAGCTCTTCTGGTCTCTCCTGCATTTTAGCCCTTAATGCCTGAACTCTGATGAAGCAGATTGATGTTTGTCGGCTGCTGTGACAGCTGGTCTTGTGGGAATATATTTGTGCTGCACTGTTGATGGTTTTTAGCCCGGATTTCCTTGAACAAAGCTGCAACGAGGTCATTCCAGTGAGAGGCGGCCATGTCATCCGTCTTGCATGTGAGGTTGTTTAATAGCAATGTGACAGTGTCATTGCAGCCCGGCCCTTCTGGGACGAACCCCGAGTGCTGGCCTCAATGATCTGGCTGCGGAGCCTGTTCCAGACACCCACAACACTTTGTGCAAAGAAGTGATACCCATTCTGCATCCACAATGAATCCCCCTGTGGTGTCTAAACGGAGGGAATCTGAAGGAGTTCCCCGTATTGGGCTTTGTGTTATACCCCCTTAGGATTTTACAGACGTTTTTAGATTTGACTTACCTCCTCTCATGTTGCTTTGCTTTAGATTGAAGAAACGTAGGTCCTCTAAAGTATTTATATGACGCCCCCCCTGAGACCAGGGATCGTTGCTGCTGCTCTCCTCTGACCCCGTGCAAGCCTGTGGTATTGTGCCCGACATCTGGCAGGGACACGCCTTGTGCCCAGAGAGGCCTGGCTCCAGATGTGCGTGTTGCTGTCCTGACCCAGGAGGAGGCCAGGAGACCCAGTAGCAGGACCAGACGTCGGCCGGCAGCCCCAGAGCCCCACCCCCCTCCTCAGGGGGGCTTGAATAGTGAGCGGAAGAGAGCTCACACCAGTCCCTCAGGCCGCAGAATAGAGCAGACCAGTTGGCAAGTTGTTTCATTCGTTCGGGCCCCTCCCCCGTGCGGTGAAGGACATGAAACATTAAGCTGCAGTTTCCTCTCTGTGGTCTGGTCTCCAAACCTGAAAGCTGTGGTCTCCTGCAATTAGACCCACTGATGAAGAGACGCCAGGGGCTGTCAAGAATGGCGAGCTGGTTGATGACACTCTTGTCCCACAGGTTGCTCAGAGCGGCGAGGATGAGGATGAGGAAGACAGTGACAGTGACAGCGATGAGGATGACGTCAAGGTCACCATTGGCAACATCAAAACAGGAGCACCGTCATACATGTGCGTACATGCAAGAGCACGTGATCACCCGCGTCAGTGACGACACCCACCACTAGAGGGCAGTAAACTCTGCGCCCAAAAAAGAGTCGCTGAGGGACTCCGTTAAATGCATTTACCGTACCAGAAACAAACACTGATATTTTATTGAGATCATAAGCATGACTATTCTGGTTTAAATCGATACCTTATAAACCTTCTTGGTATTTAAAGAAGCATTATTTAGGCTCACTCATCTGTATAAACAGGTTTTACTGTTTCTTTCATGTTATTTCTGTTTCTGTTTTCTCGGCACATACCGCAGGGCAACACCGATGAACCTCAGTCTGAAAACGGGACGGGGATACGGAGCAGCTGCTACCGGTACGTCATCCTTCCTCTGCAAGGTTTAGCACTGCGGGAAGCGAGACGCCTCCTGGAAAATCTCCGCTTGGGTCTTGGAAGGCGTGGCGTTCCCCGAGATTCCGGAGATTTGAGCGCAGAAACACCGAGCCTCCTTGTGGCTGTGTAGGACACGAAGGCCCCTTCCTGCTTGTGTGGATGTGCTGCAGCGGTGTGACCCCGCCTGTCCTGTTCCCCTGCAGCCAAGCTGCAGCCGAAGGGAGTGGACCTGGAGGCCACCGGGAACATCAACGGGCTGCCGGCGCTGGAGGCGGACCCTGACTCCTTCGAGGACAAGCCCTGGAGGAAGCCAGGTCAGCCGCGGGAAGCGCCGGCGGGGCGAGGGGGGGCGGGCTGAGATGGGCCAGGTGGGACTCGCCCCTGGTCGGCGTGCCGGGGCCGGCGCTGGGCCTCGCCCAGGAGTCACGTCACCCCCCCCCATGAAGTCTAGCCGGTGTGAAGCTCCGCCGCTGTCGAGGGGGTGTGGGACCCCGCGAGAATCCTGGGTTTCGGATCTCAGTGGGGGGGGAGGGGAGAGCAGCACCGCAACAGCGCTGCCGCGACTCTCTTGGTGATGTCAGAGGAGTTTAGCGGGAGAGTAGGGATCGTCCCGTGATCGCCCCGCCCCCCTCACGCCCCCGTGCCGCCCCCTCTTGCAGGCGCGGACCTCTCGGATTATTTCAACTACGGCTTCAACGAGGACACGTGGAAGGCGTACTGCGAGAAGCAGCGCAGGCTGCAGCTGGGCCTGGACCCGGCCGGCCCTGCCGCCACAGAGAACAAGATCACGGTGGGTACCGGCGGAGCAGGGGGAGCCCGGAGCGCGGGCGTGACCGCAGGCCGGCAGGGCAGCGCGGGAGTCCAGCAGGAGCCTCCACGGTGTCCGGTTTGAGAACCTAAGCATGTTGACGAGTGAGAGAGAGGCCATTCAGCTCCTCGAGCCCATTGCTCGTTAGTAGTTAATTGATCTGGGTACTATGAAGAAAGCCAGGGTATCGGCTTCAGTAGCATGGCTGGGAAGCCTGTTCCACACTCCCACAGATCTTAGTGTAGAGAAGTGCCTCCTGATTTTTGTGTATTGGGAGCCGAGATTTAATTTGCAGTTTTAAGCAGTCGTTCTGTACGAGTTCGTTTTTCAGAGACCGATGATGGGCGTTTCTGAACTGAAATGATATGGGTTCTTAAAATGAAAAAAAAAAAGTCATGTAGCTTTAATTCAATCTAAACATAGTGTGTTGAGACTTGAGGAAGCCTGTGACGGCTCTGCCAGCGGGAGTGCCTGCGCTCCGGAGAGCTCTCTGAGCCCTGCTGTGTCTCTCGAAGGTCCAGCAGGGGAGGATGCCGGTGTTGGAGAAGGATGTGGACCTGGCCGCCATCAAACCCGAGTTCAAAGCCGACTTCCCCCCCACTCCCGTCCCCCTGCCCCCCGGCAGGGTCAAGGCTGGGCCACCCCCCAACAGGTAACCCGCCAGCCCGGCACCCGACCTTTCACCCAGGCGGTGGGCCACGTCTCCTTCAGACCCATTCTTATCACTTAAAAATAAACTCCTGATATCAGCGGCTTCTCGCTGTCGCCCCCGTCTCCCTCGGCAGGAAGCTGGGGGGCACCATCGACGTGATCGGAGGGCAGACGGGGGCCATTCGAAGGGTGGAAGGCAGGCGGAGAGAGAAGCACGCTTCCGATGAGAACCCCATCCAGGTGCCAGCGCCGGGGGAGCGGGGTCCGCCGGAGACTGTGATGCCCACAGGGGCGGCGCCAGGACGAGAGGGGAGGCGCCGGACGGTGTTCTTCCCTACACTGTCTGTAAACGGGGCGATTTCCTTATTAATGGCTGCTTTGAGTGTTGTTTTGGGGTGGCAGGGATGCGGGATGATTCCCTGCGCGGCCTCGTGGGAGGTCCGAGGGTTTGTTTTGTCATGGGCGTCTGCAACGGGCTCGCCCTGCGGCGGCGCTAACATCTCGTTTCCTCTTCCGCCGGCAGGTCCTGGGGGACCATGGCAACAAGAGCCAGGCGTTTGCTCCCCAGGCAGGACCCCCCCCACCCCCTATCGGGGCCCCCCCACCGCATTTCCTCCACCCCCCTCCACCCGTCACCAGCGTGCCGCCGCCTCTCCACCCCCCGGGTAAGATCCTGCCCCGAGGATTGGTCTGGCTTCAGCGGCTGAGGCGCTTCTGGACTGGCAGTGCTTCAGCTGTAGCGTCACGCGTCCCTCTGCGCCATGGTGTG